GGGTCCTTGACTACTAAACCAAGGGTTAAATGAGCTGTGAGTTTCAGTATTAATGTAAATTATGCGATAATTATGTCCCAACATTATACCGTCGACCAATTTCATCAAATCAAACGAAGTCGCCAAATTCAGCGATATGCAGCCTATAGTGTAAATGGTTTCCACGCATGTTCGAACGCAATAATAATAACAATGAGAACATTTGGCGACTTCTTTTGAATTGGCAAAGTTTTTAGATTTTTGTGAAATGGATCGATGGTATAATGCGTAAGTACCGAATTTTCTACATGATTTTAGTTTTAAAGAAAAATAAGATTATGCCTTTGCTTTGGCACTTAAAATATTTTCTTAAAAATAAAGTTTATTGTTTTATCAACCAATCATATTCTTTGAGATTTTGTTTTTGCTACAGCGATTGCTTTTTACAGAAATTTTGTTTCTCAATCCCTTGTAAAGCAGAATTTATTCACTGTGCCCTAATTAGAGATCTCTACTGCTCAAAAGAGCATCGAAATTAAATTAACTGCTTCGAAAATCTTAGAATGTGTGACTGCTATGGAACATCTTCCTTTTCCTTATTATCTGACACATCTTCACCGTTCGCTTATGATGAAAAAACTCTTTATAACTTTTAAAATTTTATCAAACGAAATGTTTGAACATGGAAATAGTATCAATCAGGTCTTAGAAAAAAAATATATCTTTTACAAAAAAAAAAAAAAATTAGACTGAAACATTTTGTTTTCTAAAAAAACGGTAATTCCTGTATATAAAACAGATTTTTAAAAAAGTACAATCGGATCCCGATTTAACGGATTCCTTGTGACCGAACATTTTATTCGTTAATTAGAAGTTATTCGTAATTTCACAGTAAAAAAAAGCGCATATTTTTTGCACTTATCTTTTGAAAATTTTATGGTAAGTTACTACACAAAAAAAGAGTTAGGATATAGTTAGAAATTACACAATTTTTATTCAGCAGCTAAATAAACTTTAAGTCAGAGGTCTTCAAATTGTATTCCACAGAATCCTGGGGTTCCACGAGTCACAATAAATAAACCGAAAATAATGCTATAAATGTGTATGCAAAATGGATTCATGTTTTTTTATGATGTTTGTATATCCATAAGAATTCAAAGCTCATTCCTGTCATTAAGAAACTGAAAGCTTTATTTATACATAATAACTTTATTTTGCAACACTTTTAAAACTTTTATTATAATATAATAAAAGAATATTAAAGCGTTTTATCTTTATATACATATTACTTTCTAGATTGTGGATATTTTATTGTTTACTGTCCTGGATTCCACGAGATAATTTTATACTCGTTAGTACAATATCTTGCAAAATTAAATATTTTTCTAATGGGAAATGCACCTTTTTGTATTCGTGGAAAAACACCTACAATAAAGGAGAGGGAACAACTTATTGACGCATCGACAGATTCGATGTTAAAAATCTAAATTTAAGCAAGATCAGCCCCTGAATTTTATGTTGCAAATTCTCTCATGTAAAATGCACTGCATTTCTCACGCAGCTATAAACATTTTAATGCCATTCAGAACAATGTGTATAAGTGAAAAGTATTTCTCAACGTGAGTGGCTACAAAAACAAACGAAACGCAGAATATAATGCGATTGCAGTTATTCTCAATAGACATAGACTTCAGCAGCTTGTGTGACAAAATACAAACACATATCCCAGTTTAACTGGCGTTACTAGTTCTGAGTGGGCCCTCTATCACACAAAATTCTTTCGGTACCCTTTTTTTAGATATGAGAACCCTGTTAGTGGGACTGTAGTTACCCATGTTAGGGCCCCTATCATTAATACGGCGGTAGCTACGCCCCTGCCCAGTTACTAAACACAATGCATGGATGGATGACACTTGCACCCGAGAGTAATGATGAGTTAATTCTATTAAATTTTTTTAATAATAAATGCAATATACTATTTTAAATTGCCTTTACATTGATCTGCTGTTGATCTACTTTAAATATTATTGTAAGATATACTCATCTAAGAGTGTATGTGGAATATAGGATTCCACGAAAATGCTTTCTAGTTCTAGGGGTTCTACGAAAACACTTTCTAGTTCTAGGGGTTCCACGAAAACACTTTCTAGTTCTAGGGGTTCCACGAAACCCCTTCTAGTTCTAGGGGCTCCACGAAAACACTTTCTAGTTCTAGGGGTTCCACGAAAACACCTTCTAGTTCTAGGGGCTCCACGAAAACACCTAGTTCTAGGGGTTCCACGAAAACACCTTCTAGTTCTAGGGGCTCCACGAAAACACCTTCTAGTTCTAGGGGTTCTACGAAAATGCTTTCTAGTTCTAGGGGTTCTACGAAAACACTTTCTAGTTCTAGGGGTTCCACGAAAACACTCTAGTTCTAGGGGTTCCACGAAAACACCTTCTAGTTCTAGGGGTTCCACAAAAACACTTTCTAGTTCTAGGGGCTCCACGAAAACACCTAGTTCTAGGGGTTCCACGAAAACACCTTCTAGTTCTAGGGGCTCCACGAAAACACCTTCTAGTTTTAGGGGTGTGACGAAAACACCTTTTAGTTCTAGGGGTTTGACGAAAACACCTTCTAGTTTTAGGGGTTTGACGAAAACACCTTCTAGTTCTAGGGGTTCCACGAAAACACTTTCTAGTTCTAGGGGTTCCACGAAACCCCTTCTAGTTCTAGGGGCTCCACGAAAACACCTAGTTCTAGGGGTTCCACGAAAACACCTTCTAGTTCTAGGGGCTCCACGAAAACACCTTCTAGTTTTAGGGGTGTGACGAAAACACCTTTTAGTTCTAGGGGTTTGACGAAAACACCTTCTAGTTTTAGGGGTTCACGAAAACACTTTCTAGTTCTAGGGGTTCTATGAAAACACATTCTAGTTCTAGGGGTTCCACGAAAACACCTTCTAGTTCTAGGGGTTCCACGAAAACACTTTCTAGTTCTAGGGGTTCCACGAAAACACCTTCTAGTTCTAGGGGCTCCACGAAAACACCTAGTTCTAGGGTTCCACGAAAACACCTTCTAGTTCTAGGGGTTCCATGAAAACACCTTCTAGTTCTAGGGTTCCACGAAAACACCTTCTAGTTCTAGGGGTTCTACGAAAGCACCTTCTGGTTCTAGGGGTTCCACGAAAGCACCTTCTGGTTCTAGGGGTTCCACGAAAACACCTTCTAGTTCTAGGGGTTCCGTGAGTTGAAACAGTTTGAAGACCGCTGCTCTAAGCTAATTATTACGCATTATTTGATTCGAAACTTTAAAATACTGACGGGGAAAAAAGAAAAACAAAAAAACGTTTGACAATTTTTTTGATTCCTGACTCGAAAGAGTTCTTTTTTGATTTTAAGCATAGAAGAAAATACTGCGTCATTTACATTCTGCTGCAGGATGTATTCCACAGTTTCTAAACAATATAAAGCGTTAGAAAACGTAAAAGTTTTGATAAGAGTTTCCAGAAAGGAATCTCCTGTCCTAATTAGAACTCACGTGATAGATTGCACTCATGAATCATTTGCACATGTAAAGTCTAATAATGGGTTGCATCCCTTCCCCTTGAAGTTTGTTGCTTCAAGAAAAGGACTTTTCTCTTCTCGAAAAAAAAGAAAAACCATTTAAAAACAAATCCAATTTTTTTCTAATCCAAAATAATTATAACAATAAAAAAATTTGGTGGTTGAAATAATTTGTTAATTTGGGTTTATTATTCGTTGAATAGAGGTTTTTTGCCCTCATTTTAAAAGGGGGGGGGAGAAAAATTCGTTTAATTGTGAAATACGTTAAATAGGAGTCCGACTGTATTTATACTCATATTTGCACCTAATGGAAATGAAAAATTTTGTTTCACAATCTTCTCGGAGTTTTACCACAAGCGATTGCTTATCAAGATTACTTATTACGGAAACCGTAGTAAAACCGCGGGTTATTGAACCGCATGTTAAAGGGTCAAATTGCCGAAGACATATTTTTCAAGGTGATAAGAATTACCGTCAAATATTCTAAGGTATTCCAATTTACTCTTTTTCAATTCCTACTATATTAGTTCACTTTCTCCCCATATATATACAGTCGACTCTCGATAATTCAAACCTTCGATAATACGAACCTCTCGATAATTCAAAGTATATGCTCAGTCCCTTGAAAAATTCTTGATATTTAGAACTAAAACAATACGTTTGGGTACACTCAATGTTTCGAAGTAAAATCAGACTACAACACGCGAAAATTCGAAATTATCTTATTAAACTCTCGATAATTCGAATACTCACTATTATGTAGAGTCCTGTAGCAAACAGGTTGGAGCTTGCATGTTTTATGTTGTGTTGTTTCTGCGTGTCTCCCCTGTAATGTAGAATCTTTGATGACGATCTGGGGTCAATTAAGTGGACAATATAGCAACCGCATCTGTTGTCAGCCATCCATATATTTCGTATAGCACGTGGCCTTGCTACACATGTGTTCATAAAGGATGGTCCGCTATTGTGAAGAAGAGATACGTAGGATTGTGTATGAATGCACTGAATTTATGCTTTTTTAATACAGGACTTTTAACTTCTGTGAAATATTTATACTCTATAATATGTACTTTTTAAAAATACTTTAAAATAATTTTATACATGTGTACAATTGTTGTTTATTTACATATTTTCAAATTTAAATGTGTTAGAAAAAAAATTATCTTCGTGTATTTTGGGAGCTTTTTCCTACCCTCTTGATAATTCGAAGTTTTTCATTCATCCCTTCAACTTCGAATTATCGAGAGTCGATTGTATATGTATCTTGTTCTAATTTTCAATCGTTAATAAAATACTTTCTATTCATCCATTCAAGTTCAAATACATTTTTTAAATCTTGTAGTGCACTTGATGTTAATACAATTTTTTCAAATATTAATTCATTAATTAAATTAAAAAATGAATGAATAGAATGAATGAACACAAAAATAATAGTCCAACAGCATAAATAGAAAGGAAAATTTTTGGTTGTTTCTCTCAAGCGCCATGGCTAGCGCGCTGGACTTCTAATCCAAAAGGGGAACTTCTAATCGTGGGTTCAAATCCCACCTGTGATGGCCTAGTTTCTGAGATTGTGATTTCTTTTTTACTATGCTATTTTATTAGAATAATTAAATTTAATTATTGAATAAACAGTAACAAACAAAAAATAGTTTAATACCATATATAGAAAGAAAGTGGAAAATTGCAAGGAAAATCGCTTTCTATTTTGTCGCCTAATATTGCTATTCTGTCATATGTATATACATATTTATATTAATTGTAACTATTAAAAAAAGTAACTAAAATAAAAATTTTCTTTGTTGACCTAAGTAGGAATTGGCTTAATTTTTTATATTACTTGTTATACTGTATATTTGTTCTACTATAATATTATAAAAATTTTCTAACTTTTGTAAAAAAAAAAGTTTGTAGGCCTGTCGGGCTCTATAATCTCCTGTCTTTACGTAAAGATGGTTGTAAAAAACCTCCAATTCAACCTGTGGTAATAGAAATTAATTAAAATAGAGAATCTATTTTTATACAGATTTACTTGGATATTTTAAAAGAAATTTTTTTTTATGTAAAAGTGTTAACTTTAAATTATTTTTTTTATGTCTTGCTTAAAAGAAACTTTTGTTTCGCTTTGTATAGCTCAAAATTAATCGACCAATGATAACAGCGCACATCTTAGCAAGCACAGATATCTAAACGAAAGTATCTTACTTATTTACGAATTTTCCAAACAATTACTAAACTGAGTTTAAAAGCCAACGGTTCAATATAACGATTTATTAATATTTATTTATTTTCAGGTCTACAAGAAAATTGCTCACATTTCCATGGAAGTGCAGTGTTCTGAGTATACTAAAATCATCAGTTCTTCTCATTTGGATTTTGGCAACTGCAATAATCTCCATTTACAATATATATCATTACACGCAAACAGGTATTCCCAAAGACATTTGGAAATCTCCAAGTGATTATGTTCCCTTAATATTAAATATGGTAGCTTTCATAACAGGGGTTCTTGCCCTTTCCATTGTATTGAAACGCATAAAGGCATATTTTTTTCAGAACAATAAATCTTCAGAAGTCTTAAGTACTAGCATTACATTTTTAAATCCCAGGCATTCTGCCCGTACTATAATTGAAGAGACTCTAGTATAAAAACTGATATGAAAGAAAGACTCAAATTGTATGCTAAATATAAAAGAAGCCTGTAACGTTTTATAATATTTTTCTTGTGATTTCTTTTTTGTGAATAAAATATACCTAAAATTGTTTTTGTTTTAAAAAGAAGAAAAAAATTAATTTTTTTTGCTTTGTATATTACTTAAGGGGAAGGCCTTCAGTTGTTAAACATCTTACATGACATCTAGATGGCGTTGACTTTTGCGAAATTTTTGGCACAAATATTTTTCTGAAGATTCCCAAGATGGGCAATAAATTTCTCTCTCGGGTACTCCTCTCAACAAAATTCTCCCCTCAGCGAAAGCCGACGCTCGCTAAGGAATGGGGGGTGGGGGTCACAATCATAAAATTGATAGTTCTTTTTCAGGGGAGGGAGGGGGTAAAACAGCAGTGAATCTTGTCTATGGAAGAGTTATTTCTGGACAAAGATTAGTGGTTAAACTTTTCGACTCACGGAACCCTTAAAACTGTAAGATGTTTTCCGCAGTGTTGGATAAAACGGCATGGAGATTGTAGGCAGTCCAGTTCTCGGAGCCCTGTAGCCTAATAATCTTATTACACAACATTTTAGCAATATATTTCATTGCACAAATAAAATAACAGATAATCAGCGAATTAAAAAATATGTAACTAAACACTAATTATTTATTAGAATCTGTAATAAAAACTAATTCTTGCAGTAAAAAATAGCTAAATATTTGGTTTTTTTTTTATTTTTGGGACCCCTAAAAAGAGTGGGGCCCATAGCCAATCACCTACTCCACCTAATGAGTAATTCGGCACTGGTTTTTGGGGAATCCCATTCCACACTTAGAAGAATATATCTTAAAATAATATTTAAAGTATATAGATAAACATATTTTTGATGTTATATGAAAAGAACATTTTAAAAATTTTATTTCTTATTTGAAAATTTTATGATGTAATGTTAATGTTACTTTTATTCATTGATAATATTAATTTGTGATCCAAATGTCACCTGCGCATGCATCTTATTTAGTAACTGAGATATGTGTTCACATTTTTTTACACAAACTGTCGGCCCTTGGAAATTATGTACAGTAGCATTTCATATTCCGCGTTTAATTCGTTTTTATATTTTGTTTTTGTAGACACTCGCGTTGAGAAATATTTTTCACTTACTAATTACATTTTTGTGAATGACATTAAAATGTTCACAGCTATGTGAGAAATTCTGCGTATTTTGCAAGAATTGGCAACCTAAAATTTTGGTGTTCTAGCTTAAATTTAAATTTTAGCATTGAATCTCTTGATATGTCGTTAAATTGTTCCATCTTCTTCATTACAGGTGTTTTTCCCCCACAAATGTAAAAGGTTTCAGAATATTACACTAACTAGTATAAAATTACTTTGTGGAACTCGGGATAGCAAACAATAGTATATTCATAATCTAATAGATAAAGAAAGAAAAGTTTTAAATTCATTTATTATAAAACAATAAAAGTTTAAAAAGTTTTTCACAACAAAGTTAAGTTATGTATAAATAAAATTTTTAATTTTAATGTATGAGATCATTTTTAGATAATTGTGGTTATACGAATTTCATGAGAACTTGAATCCGTTTTGCATACACATTTATAATTTTTCTTTTCGATTTTTTTTTTATTGTGACTCGTGGAATCCCAAGGTTCTGTGGGACACAGTTTGAAGATCAATGCTCTAGATAAATGATGTAGAGAACGAAACTGTGTGTTTAATTTTTTCTGAATAAATGATTTTCAAAGGAAGAATGGGTGGATTTAAAGTAATGAAAAACTTAATTTCACGTTTTAATATGCTGTATTAAATGAACAAACAATATGATATAATTTTACGTTCATGCGATAGAAAAGGGGTTGGCAACCTATTTCACGTGTGGCACGCGGCACAATTCTCAGTGGCCCTCTGCACTACTCAACAAATGTGTCAATTTTTGAGAGGATGGAAGTTGATAAATTTGTAATGGATCTTATTTGAAATAGATCTCTAAAATTATGGACAATTACGAAATGTCGAAAAAATCGGAAAGGTAACTCCAAAGATAAATTTACAGCTTTTTTGTAATTTATTGAATGCCATTGCTGGAGAGATTTAATTGTTTCAAAAGAGAAAATTGTATGCACATTGCTCTCCGTTTTTGGTTCTAGATATCTAAGTAAGTAAAAAATCTTTCCTCACAAAAAAAAATATTTCGAGTCCGCATAGAAAATCAACAAAGAGTTATCTCAATTTTCTTCTAAGACCAATTCTTACCTATAAAATATAATTAAATATTTTTCAAACAAAATGCGCAAATAATAACTTCATTACATTACTTTTAATTATAAATAGCGGTACAATAGCATCACGTGTATCTGAAAAATATTTAAACAATTTTTAAATGAAGTAAGTACAAACAAAAGAAAAAATATTACAATTTTTTTCCCCAGCGTTTTTCAGTACAAATTCTGAAATATATCAACATTGATAAAAGCATGATATATTTTATGCTGCATATACATATAGATTAAAATACAATTTTTAAATCACATACAATTATTGATTTTAATATACAATAACATAAATTTAACATTGATACCGTTGGATAACCATAAGATTATTTAATTTTTACGCATATTTGGCAACAAAATAATAGTATTGTTTTATGTAGTGGATGACACTTGATGCTAATACAGTTTTTTCAAATATTTATCTATTAATTACCAATTAATTAAATAAATTAATTACCGGTTTTCGACACCAACTTAGATTCGTCTCCATTATTGTAACATTGTAAATGCTAAAACAAAACAATGACAAAAGTTGGCGCCGAAAACCAGTTTTTCATCCAAACTACTACTAATAGTAATTTCAAGTATATACATGTGTGTGTGTGTGTATAGAAACACGTAAGTACATTGTAACGTCTTGGCACAACATTGAAAATGTACGCTAAGCTAATTATTAAAGAATGCCTAGTTCGAGTCTGTCCGGAGTCTCTTCCTCCGTCCGCAGGGTTCAATTACGGGAATCTCTCGTGGGAGTCTCTCAGGAGTCTTTTTCTCCGTCAGCAGGCTTTTTTCTTAGGTCTGAAGTCCACTCTTTTAAACTCTAGGGGCGGGTTCACTCCACGCCCCTCATCAATCCCCATTGGCCGACCTCAGGGTTTTGCACCCGGCACCAACGGTCTTGCACGTCATCCATTCGTGCAGAGATGACAAAAGTCCGGTCCCTCTCAAAGGTTCCCGGCGACAAGGGCCCGGCTGACATCTGGCACTTCAAACACCTCGCCGCCGCCTGCAGAGGCGCCAGCATTCAAGACGTACAATCACTGCCCATGAATAGAAAATAATGCAGCGATGCCTAGCCCATAGTGTCCGCCAGACACACCGTCGCCGACGGTCCAGCTGTTCGGCACAGCACAATGCAGCTAAAATCACGTTTTCTCCCGCTGTGGAGCCTCTAATGAATAGGGGTGACTACTCCATTGTGACGACGTCACAACATGTTGTACAACACATGATTTTTTGCTTGTTATATACTTCTCATATTTTCAAAATTACTTCATGCAATTTCACAATTCTGGCGTTGTTTTTTACTTTTAAATGGACACTTTTTTTTCATTATAATCACTGAGAATTTTTTGAACTGTAAGTTATATACACATAAAGATGTTTTTGTTCGAAATCTGCATTTTAAGTTTGATGAGTGTTCGCCTAATTTCAAAGAGCCAATCTAGCCTAAAACGTATTTTCAGACAGAAAATTATTCGAATTTTCGTCAAATTTTGGAGCATTATAATACTTACACTCGTTTATTATACAGTAAGCATAGTTTCAACTTTAGAAAAATTCAAAAAATATGCAATTTTTCACCTGAACACAAAATTAAAAACCTATTTAGC